TGTGTGTGTGTGTGTGTGTGTGTGTGTGTGTGTGTGTGTGTGTGTGTGTGTAACAATTGATATATTTTCTGTTCTTGTTTACTTATTTGAATATAAGCACATAATGGTACTGCACTTCTCAGTAACTAACAACATTTGGGGTTTTGAAAAACATGCTTGGCAAATATTTTTCAGCTGAATGTCACCCTGATTCTCTAATTTGTAAGACTTTCATTTGCTGATCAGAACTGATCAGGAAATCCATGTTTGCAGTCAGATGTGCTGTCATGAGCTGCACAACATATTCTGTTTAATCACTTAATATGGAAATGTAGCACAGGAAAGTCAATAAAATAGTCCTCTTCACTGCAAAGTACATTCCAGTGAAACGTTTTCTATGGCAGAAATGGATCATAGGAAAACAGAACTGAGAAGTGCAACAACCAAACAAAACTATTCTGGATCCAGTTTTAATTACTTACTACCAATACTGGAAATACTGGGAATACCTGTAGAGAAAGAAAATAAAGAGGGCTGTTAGCTGTTTATTGAAAATAACTGAAAACCTGTAGTGTTATATCAAATATTCTGGAAAGTATGTTCTTATACTCTTCAGAATACAATATCAGCAAGAAGTTAGAACCAAGAACTTACCAATACATACTCAGATCTTCTCTTTCTAATTCAAGAGCTCTTCAGCTCTTTTTATAAGATTTCACAGAGTTTTAGGGCATATTTATTTTTTAAAATAATGACATTGAATATTTTTGGCCAACTGAACAGCTTTTTTCCCTTTCTCCTAATTTCATGGAGTTGTTCAGAACAGTTCTGTATTTCAACCACACAGTCATTAAGGCTTCTAACAAAATTTTGGAATCGGAGATCAGATCCCACATGTGCCAATGCAGGGGGAGCCCAGTGCTTACTTGCCAGTGCAGGGGGAGCCCAGTGCTTACTTGCCAGTGCAGGGGGAGCCCAGGATCATGATTCCAGAATCCTGGGCACTGAGTTGAAAGCCATGACTGATGGCTGGCTCTGGGACGACTCCACTAGTGTTTGAACCAGCCCTGGTGCAGTCCCCAGAGCCAGCTGACAAGTGGCTGATTTAAGCCCCAAATCAACTGATTGTCAGCCACTGGGGCCAACACTGGCCCCGGGGGGTCTTTGTGGTCCAAACCCTGCTGCACATTCTGTTTAAGGTGTGATGGAAACCAACCACAAAAATATTAAGCATATTTTGGGTAATATTTTTATGGCTGGTTTCCCTTTTGTGGCACCATTAATTCCCTGTATGTGTGTCTGGGTTACTATTTAAGATGGAGTTAACAGACTAATAGCATTTTAGGTATTATGCCAGGAGCCTAAACTTCATAATTTGAATAACAAATGCAGAGCATGCATACGTTATGCACATTGAAGAAAATATTTTAACGTGGGGATAGGTGGAGTGCTAGCTGCTTCAGTACAGAACATTAGTTGATGCTTTATTAGATTTGTGTTTCTCTTTCAACTGTCAGTTATCTAGATTAAGCTGTCTAAAAGAACTTTAACTGAACAAAATAATATAACACATTAGGTCACTCATATTGATCATACCCCTCATTGATTTGCCTGCTTTCACTTTAATTCTCAAGTAGAATTAGGGTGGGAAAATCAGTCGAGGATGTGTCTGCACTTAGAAAATATGGATATACAATAATCCCTGAAATGTAATCTTTCCCCCTTTTGTTTTGCTAAAGTGAAATATGTTAGTGGGACTATTCCTGGTTCCATGTGTTAAAACCACAGTTACAGACATGAAAACAAAACAAAAATGTGCTTTACTTTAAATTCAGCGTCCTCCTGTGCTGAGCCCCACATATGCCCAGAAGAGGCAAGGTGTTACTCTGACCTAGCTCTGTAGCATCTGTATAGATTGGGCACTTTAGTGAGACTTTTTTGGTGCTTTTATCTAATTGCTGATTGGATCAGCTATTAGATAAAGTGTCAAAACACCTCGCTGAAGCACCTTATCTATACAGATGTTGCAGTGCCAGGTTGAACTAACATGCTATTTCTTCCTGTAAAGCAAGGGGTTTTTTTCATGTCTGCAAGCCGCCATACTGTTGGTGTGTATTTAAATAATGGATATGTGCATAATCTCATTTAAATAAGGTTGCTTTTTATAAATGTCATTAACTTTTGAAGGCATGGCTTTATGTGGTGGAAATCAGTCTGTTTCATTAGACACTGGCTGTGCTTATTTCAAATTCTTTCTTGAAGACCTTTCTAAATCAGAGAAACTAATTCTGCTATTACTCAAGCTAAAGTCAGTGCAAGGATAGGCACTATTCAGTAAGCAAGAATTGGTGAATCAAGACCAATATTGTGAGAATTCTTCTGGTTATCATCTATTAGTTAGTAACCTACTATGCAATATGGAACATATGTATGTCTTCTTCCATGGCCCCATACTAAACTTTTTGTGCTGGCAGGATCAAGGCCTACTAGGGTCAGCCAGGGATTCTGCCAGTGTGCAAGCCTGATGAAAAGTGAAGAGTTGACATAGCTGAAAACATTCCACCCACTGCAATCTGGTTTAGGAATATAGCTAGAAGGAAGAGTGTGTCCTTAGAGGCTGCTCTAAATTATGTCAGAGCTAGGGCAATGCCAAGCTAGCTACAGGATTGGGAATCATAAACAGTTCCTTTGTGACTCCCTGCATCAGTTATATGTCATGTTTTATTGAGGACAAGTGAGAATTGTTTCCACAAGCTCCCCATATATTATTTGGAAACTCTTAAGTGTTCAGTCCTGCAAGGTGCACAGTATCATCTTGCAGAAGGCACCCAAGACCATGAAGATTCCAATGCTAAGCAATATTTAGGATAAAACCTAATGTTACCCCTGCTGAGAATAAACTGATACTCAAAGGAAGGTCTAGCCATTTTTTTCAAAATTTCAGAATCATGCAATTAGTACGAACAACTAAAAAAGAATCCAAAGTTTTAGGAAAAAATTACAATCACATTTTTAGAGACAGTAAAACATGATTATTCTACTTCTGTCATATTTTCTGGTGAATGGATTAACTATGATAGAATTCTTTACCATTCTCTACCATTCTTTACCAAAGTTGAAGGGCATTCAACTTTTAATACTATTTTTAGGTAAGTTCCAATAATACATATTTCCGTTTTTGTGTCAGTGCAATTGTGTTTTAAATTAACAGGCTTTATTTTTTGTGTAGACACACAAGAATAATACAGATAATAGGTACGATTCAGGTAACATATTCTCACACTCACATTTCCCTTGTGAAATGATACATTAATTCCTATTATATAAGAAGCTTTCATTCTCTTTTGGACAAAGTGTATCAGAGGAAGAGGTTTTCCCACTAGTTTGTACTCCTCTTCCTTTACTGTACCTTAAATGTCTCAATGAAAAATAATGATGAACGTTTTTCAGGCAGGGATGAGTAACAAAAATAAGGCGACTGCTCGCCTGAAGGACTTTGTATTAATCTTGTTAGGTTGTATTCCAGTTCTATTTCAGAAGCTATTTCCATAAAGAGTTTTTCTATCAATGTGACACTTTGTAAGTTATATACAATTTATGAATTCCATTTTGATTTTATAAACTGCCTGTATTTTTACGTCCTATGCCTCTCTTTTATTGTCTACTGTCACTGTTTCTAAGTGCTAAAGAACCAGCAAATGGGGCCTATACATCTAGAGCAGGAGAGGGCAAAATGCAGCCCGTGGAGGAAATTTGTGCAGCCTGTGGTGGGTCCCTCAGTCCCACCTGGCCCAGGAGCCATCCGGCTCATGGCATGTCCTGCCGCCCCCAGGGAGCACAGCAGGGCTGGGGAGGCTCCGTGGCTGGACCGCATTGCTAGGCAGCCCAGGCAGCAGTGGCTCCTTCTGGCTGCCACCACTACCAGCCCAAGCCCCATGGTACTGGTGGGAACCTGTGTGCACAGCCCCAATGCCATCCTGCCTTGTGTCCACTCTGGACTTGCCCCAGCCAGAGTGGACCAGCTCTGGACCACCTGGAACCCATGCACACAGCCCTGACCCTGGCCCACCCGGTGCCTGCTCTGGACTGGCCTGTTCACGCTGAGCAGCGGCAGCTGCTGGGCAGAAGCTGCTGCTACGTGTGGGGGGAAAAGCAGCGACTTCCACCTTGCTACTGCCAGGCCCTTCTTGTCGCAGCTGCCTGGAGCCCATGCCCTGCATCTTCACTCCCCCACCATCACTGCCACCTCCAGGCCACCCAGCAGAGCAGCGGTGACAGTGGAGAGGAACCACAGGGCAGCCCAGGCATGGGCTCTGCGCAGCCACAGCAAGAAGGGCCTGGTAGCAGAGAGGGGGAAGCAGCCACTTTCCCCCCACTGCTTATCAGCAGCTTCTGCCCAGCTGCTGCCACTTCTGCCACTGCTTAGTGTGGGTGGGTGGTCCAGAGCAGGTGCGGGCTAGGCTGGGGTCGAGGCTGTGTGCATGGGTACTGGCTGATCTGTTCTGGCTGGGGCGAGTCTGCAGCCGGGTAAAGGCTGGGGCTGTGCGCTCAGCTGCTGCTCGGCTTGGTGGTGGTGGCAGAGAGGAGCCGCAAGGTCCATGGG